TTCCTGATGATTAGTGTCAATGGAGATAAAAGACCTGTACACCCGAAATTAAAAGACACCGAAGAAATAAACTGAAGAAGTTAAATAAATGAAAGTACGAGGTCTGTCCAGAAAAAGTCCAACCATTGTTAACATAACAAGAATGGTTTGCACAACATCCATGTAACCTGGCAGCCAAGGAGAGTAGACTGGAATGCACATGCATAAACAATACTGACTTCTTACTGTACTAATCAGTGGGGGCAGTAGATGCTATTGAGTGAGTATGTGTATTGTGTGGCCATTGCACTCAAAATGACTGAGCAGGTGGAGCAATGAATCTGCATCAAATTTTACATTAAGGTTGAACAGTTCACGGAAAATATTCAAGTGATTCAGAAGGTCACAGCTATGGGCGACTGGTGATTGGCGGCTGCATAATGACAATGCGCCCACTCCTGCATCACATCTCGTGTAGAGTTGTTTGGTGAAACATTAAATCACCCAATGACTCAGCCCCGTTATAGCCCAGATTGGGCACCTTGTGACTCCTGGCATTTCCCAAAATTAAAATCACCTTTGGAAGGGAAGCGATTTCAGACTGTTGATGATATTCAGGAAAACACAGTGGGGCAGGTGTTGGTGATTGGGAGAACTGTGTGAAGTCCCAAGGTGCCTACTTTGAAGGGGACTGAGGTGTCATTGTCCTATGTACAATGCTTCTTGTATCTTGTGTTTTCATCAATAAATGTCTCTATGTTTCATATTACATGACTGGATACCTTCTGGACTACCTCTCTTGTATATACTGTGCTCATAGATAAGAAGAACTAACGTTATTAAAATGTCTTTATTACCCAAAGCAATCTATAGATTCAATGCAATTTCTATCGAAATACCAATGGAATATTTCACAAACCTAGAACAAATAATCCAAAAATTTATATGAAACTACAAAAGACACTGAATAACAACAGCAATCTTGAGAAAGAAGAATAAAGTTGGAGGAATCATGCTACTTCATATCAAACTTTACTACAAGACTATAGTAATAAAAACAGCATGGTACTGGCATAAAAACAGGCCTATAGGTCAATGGAACAGAATAAACAGCCCAGAAATAAACCCACATCTATATGATCAACTAATATTTAGCAGAGGAGTCAAGAATACACAATGGGGTAAAAACAGTCTATTTAATATTTGGTGTTTGGAAAATCGAACAGATACACACACACAAATATGAAACTAGACTATTTTTTATATACAAGAATATATGCAAAATGTATTCAATACTTAAGACTACTACCATATACAAGAATAAACCCAAAATGAATTAAATACTTAAATGTAAAGTTCATGCCATAAAACTCCTAGAAGAAAACATAGGCAGTAAAATCTCTTACATTTCTGTTAGTAATATTTTTTCTGACATATCTCCTTGGGCAAAAGAAACAAAAGAAAAAAACCACAACAACTTATCTTTTAGATTACACAAAAAATGCAGAAGGTAAATTGTGAAAAAACAGAAGCAAAAACATCTGTGTATCTCTCAGGTTAGTTTCTCTAGGTGGTTTAGTTCTTTTCACATGTTTTATTTCATTAAATACTCTTAAGTCACACACTAATAATTAAAATATTCAATTAAGGTAGAATATAAGATGTTTCTAGAGATATTTTCTCAAAATATTAAGTTAAACAAAAGTATCAGATCAAATGAAAGCTCTGTTTTTTAAGCTAAAAAATACATGTTTACCTTAAAAATTTAAGAAAAATAAACAAATGTAAGATTTTAAAAATCCATAGTTCACTACCAGAAGATGAAGTGTTAACACTTGTTAACATTTCCTATTTCTCTCTCTCACCCTCTCTCTATATACACACACACATACACACACACATACACATATACATTGCATATAGTTAAATGTATATGTGCATACAAATACATATGTACATAAAATATCATAAATGTATTTTTACATATATAAAATTTCTCTAATACTATTTTTGTCACAGGATACTATTTCAGTTTATTCCTAATAATTGATGTTGCTGACCACATGAACATGGACTTTAAGGAGCATCTTCATTTTTAACAAAACTTCCTAAAGAACTGATTTCAAGTTCAAAGAGTATGATTCTTTAAGAGTTTTGATGTGTGCTGCCAAGTCACACCCAGAAAGGGCAGAGCCGAAGAATAAGACAGTAACCAAACTTGAGCATTCATCAAAACTGAATGTTGTCAGAAAGCATACCTTATGATTTATCATTTGCTTTCTAATGAGATGCATATATATATATTTTTAAAATTTATTTATTTACTGAAAAGGGAGAGAAGGGAACACTGTGTCTCTCCAAGGCTCCTGACTGGGGACCCCCCCGGAACCCCCTTTCCCCCACTGCTATCCAGACAGTGCCTTGACTGACCCTCAAACCGGTGACTTTTCAGTTCATAGGCTGGCACTCAATTCACTGAGCCACACCAGCCAGGGTGAGATGTATATATTTTTTCATTTTGTTGAACTTCTTTTATGATGTTCTTTTGTCTGTCTTTTACTTTCAGAATCATTGTTTTATTGTTGATTAGTAAGAAGTCTTTATGTATTAAATATACCAAATATTTATTGTATATTATACTTTACAAGTTTGTTACCATTTCATCTTTGGTCATGATGTGTCCAGCCAAAATGTTCTAATTTTCATGTAACAGATGAAATCTGTCCTTGAGGTGCTCTGCTTCTGTCATCATGTATAAAATGTCCTCTCGACCCAGTTACAGGCAAATAGTCATCCATAGTCTCTCCTAAAACTTTCTTTGAAAAAAAAATTACTTTAATTGTTGTTCAAGTACAGTTTTCTGTCTTTTACTCCCATCCCAGCCCACCCCCCAGTGCTCCCCACCTCCCTCCCATTTCCACCCCCCTTAGTTGTTGTCCATGTGTCCTTTATACTTGTTCCTCTAAATTCTTCCCCTATTTCCCCTGAAATTCCCTCCTCTCTCCCCTCTTGTCAATGTCTCCTAAAACAGTTTGATTTTGTTTTTTACACTTAAATCTTTAATGTGTAAGAAATTTATTTTGGCATTTGAAGTGAAATAGAAACTTTATTTTAAGATGGTTAACAACTTGTCAAAAATCACTTATTAAGTAATACATCCTACTAACAGCACTTATTGTAATTAATCTCTCTCTACAGATATCTGCAAATATATCTATATCTATATACCTATACATGTCTGCAAATATATTTATATTTATATATTTTTCTGTGTCTGTAATTTCTATTTACATCATTGATCAGTCATCTCCTCAGTGTCAATCACCACTGTTTTAATGAATTATTTTACCTTAAAATATGTTCTGATTTATTAAGACAATCATGATCCACCATATTACTTTTCTATTTTTACCTAGTCTTTTAAAATGAATTTTTTTAATTTTTATTTTAGCTTTTTCATCTATAGGTCCTAGCTTTTTAACTAGACATAATATTTTTTATCAAGCATTCTTGGAATAGGTCTGTAGTCTTTTTCATGGAAATGCCTCTCATTGAGGGCTGAGAAATCACACCGCTATTGAATCCCTGCAACAATGATCGTGACCAGCATCAGTGGTGACCCCGTTTGCTGAAAGCTCCGGAGATAAAGCTGAGCAAGGAGCAGGAAGTGAGGTGATGTGGGTGCTGGACTGTGAGTACATGGCCACACCCCGGCTTATTTCTGGCCTATGCATGTGACATGTATTCACATACATTGCTATCTTTATTCTCTCCAGGATATGCCAAATAAAGGAACAACTGCAAAGGCGGTCGTCTTAGAAAATTAATTAGAAAAGATGGTATAATTAAGTTTCACATATACACAAAATAGAAATTTGGAGGCTCTTCTGAGACGTGGCATAACTTCGGATGAAAGAAGCTAGTGCTCTGGGGCATTTTGATCAGTTGACTTACTCTAACCCCTCTCGTAATGAATCCTTCCCAGCCCTAAGCAGTAGTGAAATGAATGCACATCCTCCTTATAAACAGGTAAATGTATAATTTTGGAATGGTGTTTGTTTGTTTGTTTGTTTGTTGTTGTTGTTGTTGTGGAGCAGATGAATCTATACTGATCCATGGACACTGTTTTGTCCAGGAGGCTTATGCCTAAAAGTATATAAGAGGACAACCAGCTAAGATGAGATGTGCAGACTGTGGCCAAGGAAAAGTGTAGCGTTACTGGCACACACAGGGGTTGCAGCCAGGGTTGTGGCTGTGTACTCACTGTGTTTTAGTCAATTGCTCCTAATATTAAAGAGACCACTGATTCACAGAGGATCTAGGCTGCTTGGCATCTGATTTGAGGAATTCATTCCTCCCAACTCACTGAAGTGTTGCGAGAGCATCCCATGCCAGTTCCCTTCTAACAGCATTTTCTAGAGAAGGGCGTCCTCAAGGGATTGGAATTATTTTTTCCTATCCGTCAAATTCCAACAATAAAAACCATAATAATTGGTGAACATTTACATGTCTTTGCTCAGTTCTATTAGAAATATCCCGAGAAATTTCCCTGGACATGCCTAAGAAGTCTCTTTGCTTAAGAGCAGGTCATGTTCTATTTAATAAGGTTTTGCACTTATCTTCAGAAGATGGTCACTAATCTGGCTTTCGATTTGGAAATAGAAAAGAAAAATTGACTCCTCATGGATTTTGCTTTAAAGTTTAACCCTCAGGCAGTTAAAGCCTCTTTATCCAAACTGAGTCACTCTTTAAAGAGGCCCCTTAATAAGCACTCCAAAAAGCAATTTCAAAACAAAAGTTAGAAAGCTGTATGACCCATTCTCAAGAAAGATTTGTTTCTGTTGAAAACCCGCCCTGACCTTTTTGTTGAAGAAGAACAAAATAATGTAGTAACAAAAACACAAGTGGCTGCCAAAGGAAGAGAGAAAAAAAAGTTCCTGTAAGGGACTGAAACAATAAATCTCCTCTCTGCTGAACTCCCAAAGGGAGTGTGTGTATTTCCTCCAGTTCTTTATCAGAGCCCCCGAAATAAGTAGGAATGGGCAGTGGTTGTTCACATTCAGCACACCTTTTCCATTTGCTAATAAGGGCCTGCCAGACTGGAAGGGAGTTGTCCCTGTCTGACTCTGGAGTGAGGAGCCACTGCAAAGCTCCACCGGCACCATGAAACTGCTGCAAGTGACCATCTTTTGTCTGCTCCTGGTTTCCAGTCTTCGTAGCAGTGAAGGCAACGGTACCATTTTCTCTTATTCCTCTGACGGTGTGGATTAGATGTCACTAGCAGGAGCTGTTAGCCTCAGTTTAGCATCAGGGAGTTTCCCCTGAAACTGAGATGAAGCAGTTCATTCGCTGAGGGGAGGGTGTGGGTGCTGACTGTGAGTGCCTAGAGCAGGCTCCACAGTGAGGATGTTTGCTTTCCCTGAAGGGAAATGTTTGCCCGTGCAGCAGCCTTAAGGTGTAGTTGACGGCATCCTAAAGGTACTGGAAATATACAGTGACCTTTTTAGAGAATGAAAATCTGGGGATTAAAAGCTGGTTTCAAGTGTTCTCTTTCCAGACATAAGTCTAGAAATAACAAGGTTGTCATGTAGGGGTGAAAGGCTGTAGGTGGAAAAATCTCATTGCAGATGCTGGCCTATGCTTTTACCAATATTTCAGCTTTGGTAAATTGAGAGGTTAAGTTGCCTAGAGGGGTAAATCACAGTATTTTGAGGAGTGGGGTAGGTAAAGAGGAGAGTCATTTGATTAAAGTTTATAGATGTTTGCTCCAGAGATATGCACATATTTACACACAACATTTTGCATAACATTTCAGTGTGTTCTAGACACAAAACCCTACCCACTGATTGCAGGTTCTGAAATTCAGACGAGGGCTATATATTAAAGGCTATATATGTACCTGCCTAAGCCCTGACTCTATTAGTGACCAGTTGCAAGAAATGATTACATTTGTCTCTTAACCCTTTTGGAAGTATTCACAGTAAACAATTAAATGCAACCAATATTTATTAGGCTCCAGCCATGGTCTCAGCAGTGCAAGGAATAAAAAATGAACAAGACATTGTTCTTGCCCATAGTGGTGAATATACTATTGGGAAAATAAGCATGTAATTCAATACAAGACAGACTTAATACATACGATACAAACTGTCATAAAAGAACTCAGTTGGGAAGGATTGACCCTGACTCTGAGGAGCCTTGGAGGGGAAAAAATACAAACTTCTGTTCTAATTTCATTTTGCTTGTGCTCTTTTCAAAAGTTTGCTTCCTATAAAATTCTAATTTCCACTGATAATGTAGCAAAACACAAGCACACTCTTCTAAAATACATTTATCATTAATTTCTCAAATATATTTATAAATTTAGGATAAACTCCTGAACACTTCAAAATCATAATGATTGTTCACCATGCATCTTGAAGTTTTCAGGGTTACACATTGCCATGGCTATCAAGGCCATAAAATGGAAGAGCTACGAAGAATCTGATTTCTTGAAAGACATTTATGAGGTGTCACAGAAATCAATGCACTGGTTCAGAAGTAGCTCTTTAGCATGCGTGGGAATGACTAATCAGAATCCTGATTCCTTGAAAACACTGGTGTCATGTCGGTGTAAACTCTGAAAGTCGGGGTGAGGCTGCTCTCCATTTCAGGTCCATGAGCATTATGAGGACACTACTTTCCTGGCATTGTTAAACTCTGAATGAATATGTCCTTCTGTAAGCAAAGAGGAATAAGACTAATAGAAGCAGCCTACTTCTGTTGGAAGGAAAGGTGAAAGGTGAAGGACAACCCAGAAGTGGCCTAGCAGATTTTTCAACAAGGGCATTTTGGGGAAAACACCAGCCTCCTTTAGCTCACTGGTAATGAACCTAATCTCTCAGTTAACAATGTCTTCTTTCTAATGAACTATTAACTGAAGTAAGATAATTTCTCACTGGAGCAGAGACAACAGTTACATAATGACTATCTTCTTCAAACACTGCCAATGAGCCTATCTGTTCACTTTAGGCAAGTGTTTGTAAAAACCACTCCATTTGTCTTAGAAGAGAAACTCTAGTTTGGGAGTGTAATTTGACCATCCAAGTGGTGCCCACAAGCTGGAAGAGATTTTTCCATCCCCGTGAATGATTTTGTTGCACCTGGGTCTGCCTGTTTTACCTTTTCCTTTGCAGATACGGTGCAGGAAATGAAGCATTTCCCAAGATGATTTATTAAGATTTTTCTCTAACTTCCTTTCCCAGAAACACTTTGATTTCAAAGCTTTATATATTCTCAAAACTTAGAATGCTTAACATATTCCATTGGCAGAGTTAATTTTTGGAGATGGGGAGGGAGGAGTTTCATCTGTATTAAATCCACAAGTTGTCAAAAAGATCCATGGGGCTTTTTTGCATAGTAATTTATTCCTAAATAATGATCTTTTAAGGAAATTAGCTACTTTATTTTTCTTTCTTATTCTTTTGTCAAGTCAGTCTGGGATTTAAATTAACTCAATATAGTCCATTGTGGTCTTTGAGAAAACCAAGGGGATGTTTCTATGTGGAAGTGAATGACTTCCTATTACTTGGTTTGTGGTGTAATATTTTACAATCTCCAGTTTGGAAAGTTGTTTCACTGAGATATATATGGAAGTTTCCCAAAGAGGAACCGTCATTCCTCCCTGAGGCTTTCTAAATTATATTCCAAACTGAACAGACCCCTACAGGGGATTTTGAGCCCTTTTAACTTATAAATCTAAATCAATAAGCTTTTGAGTGCTGTGACTGAAAGAAATTAAATAAAAGAGGGATCCCCAGAAAAAGGGTGCCTTGAAGCAATTTAATCTTCAAGTGTCATTTGATTTTTCAACTTTATATTAATTTAGGAAATATTAAAATGTTTTAGGTACTTGCAAGTAAGAACAAATATCACTTTACTGGTATCTGAAGAATAATTTAATTGCTTGGAGAAATTCCTTTGTTAGTGATTGAACATTCAATTTCATGGGGAAAATGGATTGTACACACTGTGCTAAATACTGTAGGTTTATGGAGATCAATCGAACTCAGCCTTTGCCTTTAGAAGTGGGGGGTAAAGGGGAGAAGCCAAATAATTATAACTTTGATTAGATTGTGTCTTAGTTTTGGGTGTAGGGACATCAGAAACATCTTCATCTAAAAGTGGAAATTATGATAAACTATGAAGCTTGACAATGAGAAGTTTCCAGATGAATGTAAATTCCTGAGTAGGAGTATTAAACATCAGTATAGTCTAGTCTGGAAATGAAAGACATCCACAGGTTGAACATAGATAAATGCTGGGAAATAAGGATGGAAATACAGCCTCAGGATATGTTGAATACTAAGATGAAAACTATTGTCTCCTATAATTAATGAGTTTAGAGCCTCTAAATGTGTTGGAGTATGGGAATTATGTAACTGGGCTATACATTGGGAAGATTAATCTGTGAGCAGGATATAGACTGACTACCCAGTTAGGAAGGGTAAAAGTTCATTCTAAACCAACTTCCCCAAAATACAAAATGGCTTTCTAAAAAAGCAAAGTTCACAAAAAGAGAAGTTGAAAGAAAGTTAACTACTACACATTGTTATGGTAATTCATGTGTTATTTTAGGAAACACATAACTTGCTTTAAATATCTTTTACTATAACTTCTTTTCAGTTTAAGTACTATCAACAGATATTACATAAAGTGGGGGATTTGTTACAGGAAGAGTGACCCAACATGGAACCAAATCTACAGGAAAAGTATACAGTTCCCAATCCATTTGCTTAGCCTTCTTTCTCCACTACTTACTTTTTTAATGGTCTGTACCTAAAAGTAGATGTGATCATTCTAGAATTCCTATTTTCAAGAGATTCATAACCATGGTCACCAGCAAATTCTCTGGCAATTTTATCTTGCTGATTGTAATTATTCGGATATTAAGAAAAAACAATGAAAAGTTGAGGGTCTCAAAAAAAGTTTTTAATTTACTGGATAATTGATTGCCCAACCTTTTCTTTCCATTGATGAAGTTACATTTCAAACTTCAAGTAAATATTTTAACGTGTAAATAATGATCTAATCCAAGTAATTTCTATTTGTCTTTTTAGTCATCATTTACCAATTCCTCTTCCCCTTTGAGAACAAATTGAGATGTGCATGCTAAAACAGTGAATGTCAGAGCAGGAACTTACTCTAAGGGACATTCAGTTCCTGTGTAGTGTCTTTTTTCCTGTTACTGAATTCCTATGAATCACAGGTCCTTCTATCAGCTTAGGATCATAGTGTCCTGTGCAGTGTTAGAGAAAGCTCTATCAGTTAGCAAACAAGACCCTTTTGTACTGTTGCTCTCAGTGTTAGCATCAACATGGGAAACATTAGCAGTGTTAATTACATCTAGAAGGGCCACTATATGGTAGCCAAATTTCAGGCAGTCATAGGAAAAACAGTTTTCTAAATTTAAATAGAAATTCTAGGTCTTGTAGAATAATATATTCATGGAGGTAGTCATCACTAGTCTCTAGAAGCAACCACAATATTAACTGACACCTGTTTTGTCTTCCACTCTATTCTCTCTGGCCATGTTTAGTCCAGCCATTGCTATGACAGCACAGGACTTATTATATATACTTTAATGAAAACATTTTGGTTTGGATAATAATGTATGCCTAGATATAGATTAGTGTTAGTTTCTCTAACACTGATTAATACTTATTATTTTTCTTCCTCTTCACTTCAAAAAAGCCTTAAAATTAAAAAGCTTCGATCAATCTTTTATTGCACAGGTTAAATGATATTCTAAGCAGGTCCTATTCTAAGGCAATCATTTGTCTGTTAGACTCAGTAATAAACTATATTTTAAGGTTAGTAGTCAAAAATGTCTATGTCATTGACTTCATTCTTGGTATACTGCATATCCAAAATGTGAACTGCCTTTTAATTCATTTAATCACTCATGGTATAGCCTAAATCTAACTTAGTTGTGTCAAAAAACAGAGACTGGAGGTCACCATTGGATTTGGTACGAGTTAACCCAAGTAAGTATCATCTTAAGATCTACTGACATCTACTATTTATTGTGCCTGACACTTTAAACACATTACTTCCATCACAACACTTCAAGTTCAGCTTTATTATTCCTATTTACTGATTAAGAAACAGAAGTTTGGAAATAATATGAAGTTTTACTAGGGTAATACAATTAAATCAAAGGACATTGTTCTTCAAAATATTCCCCTATAGTCT